GGAGTTAAAATAGTTTCCCATTCGGATCTCCGGGGAAGTATTCGGGGATGATACAAGAAGATGGAGTGATGTTTTACTGCAGTGAAGAGATAGAAGATTACGTCCTACTTAAAAAAGTCTTTTTTTAACAAAAAAAAAGAGAGAGGTTGCTGCAAAATTCGGCAAGGAAAGGATGATGGTCATTAGCCAATAAGCCAACACTTGGTTCGAACATCATGAAAGGAAACTTTACACTTGAAAATGCTCTGGAGAGCAGATCTCGAAAGCAGATTGATTTCATCATGATTTATGAGAGAGACTGAACTGCGTGTCCCAGGTTGAACGCACCATAGGCAAACAGAAACAGTGTATTTTATCGCGAAGGATCCACGAGGGTTTTTATATGTATTTGAAGTTAGTATTCAACGAACGTTATTGCGCTTGCCGGATGTTAGAAAGAGATTAAAGTTGTCGCTAATTGCAAAGGAGATAGAAAAGCTCGCGCGAATATGAAAGCATGACATCGTGTTAAACAAAGGAAGAAACATGGTGTGGGATAAAGGAAAAACTCTAAGCAAAATTTGGCATCGAAAGCGAGAACGGAGGAAACAGAGGATAACCAAATAGTGAATAGATGGGATGGAAAAAATTACGAAAAAGGTATACCAAGCAAATGAGAATAAATACAGAGGAAGAATCCAAAGTATAGGAAGATAGGGGTGAGAGTATTTTGATGTCAGAACTAAAGGTGGCTATAAGAGAAATGAAGGATACCGGTAAAGTTAATACAGTGCTTAGAGGAAGATTAAGAGGAAGTAGGAATTAAGATACCGAGGGATTTGTGTAATGAGATTTACGAGAATGGAGTGTGGTCCGAAGACTTTCTTAGAAACGTTATGAATTTATGATACCGCTTCAGATAAAGAAGGGAAGAAATGCGAGGAACACAGAACCATCAGTGTTGCGCGTGTTGGATAGGATAGGAAAAACAGATGTATACACCGAGGAAAACTATAAGTCTATGGAAAAGGCATTCGATTGGCTGAAATACTAAAAACTGTTAGAAATTGGATAGGAGAGAGAAAGGAGATTGGTCAGTAACTTATACACGAAGCAGGAGGTGGCACTAAATGTGGGTAATGAAATGACTGAATGATTTGGAATAGGTTGGAAGGTTAGAAATGAGGAAGTATTTATTTATTTATTTATTTATTTTATTTATCTTACGGTAGAGGTCCCAAAAATTAAAATTTTGTGTACAATTCACATTATACAAAAGGTAATTATTATACTTAAATTACTGAAAAAAAGAGAAGGAGAAAACAGACAACTGTTCAGCAATATTAGAAAGAAGAGAAACTGGGTGGGCCACGTGTTGAGGGGTAATGAAATGTTGAGGGACGTATTGGAGCGATCCGTGGAGATGGAAGGTGGAGGGAAGGGAGGAAGCAGAAAAAGGAAATGGATTGATGATTTAAAGAAGGCAGGGATACAGGGAGAGGCAATGGACCGGGAGTTGTAGAAGAAGGATGTCACCTAAGAACCTGCCAATTCGCAGGAAACTAAAAGAAAAGTTTGGAGAAACTGTTGAAGAGTTAAAATTCATGGAAAGTACATACCTACATATTTGTAGCAATAGTCGCAGAGAAAGGGACCCCAAAGTTGAAAAGAATCGCAGCGTGCCTAGATGAGTTAAACCTTATGAACGATATAGACAAACTTGTTCTGGATAATGGTTGCGGAAAAACGAAAAAAAAAGGGCTTGATATTTCGAAAAAAAGATTGTTGGCGGCGCAGAAGGGTTAAGATTTATGAGAATGGCTGGAGGGTTATTGTGAGAAATTTACTCTTGGCGTTGGTGGTGGAAAAACTGGTTCGGGAAAAGAACTGTTGGAGAGGCAGCAGAATAAATTTCATACAAACAAGGTTGTCTCACCATACATATTCTTGGTATTCGTTACAGAAGAAGTAGAGAAAGGTATCCCAAAAGAAAATGCTGCGTACGCAGATGAGTTAAACTTTTCTTGGTGTTGGTGTGGCGGGAAACCTGATTAAAAAAACCTTAAACTTGAGCGTGGCGCCAATGTACCAATGAACATTGCTGGAGAAAATTTGTGGCTACTAATCCAAATCCAAACCCGCAGTTTTTTAACAAAGAGACTTTTCTTAGAAAACTAATTTTCTCTTTTAACTGTTTCCAAACAAAAACAAGAAAATAAGATAGCTACTATTCGCAAATGGCCTTCTTTTCTGTCCGCCCAGAGCTTTTCTTCCCCGCTCGAAACCGAATTAAATTTCTTGGGCGTGTTTTCCGGTGTTTTCTCGTTCAACTCAAAAACCGCATCTTTTTGAAAACCTTACTTAATTTGTTCCTGCCTACACAATGGCGGATCTTTAATCTAGACAGCCATATCTGAGCTATTCCCAGACTTAAAGGAGCCATAGAGGTGATTAAAGAACAAAAGCAGCCTTATCGACGCCATCTTGATCTACCTAACAGCCTACCGCTTACATAAATACCACATAACCCATCTGGGGATATCAACATAATTTCCTTGGTTAATTAATTAATTTATTTATTATCCCTCTCTTGTTCTAGGCTCTCAACAGGCTTGCGCCCAATTACAGGGTGACCCACATAATGCTTTGATGATATTGTGTATACAGGGTGTACCTGTACAACAATACTGTGAAAATAAATTCAAGTTGTGTGTTTATTAATTTTATTGAGAATCTTGTAGTCGGCAACTACCTCCGTGCCCACCTAAGAACACGATCTTTGAGGAGCTCTCAAGAAAATAACTACTCACAACTCAGTTAAAAATTCAAATTGTGTGGTCCGGACATGGGAACGCGATGAACGACGAACCAAATACTTTACACAGAGCTGACAGCTTTTAAAACTCGCATTTTGTTAAACACGTAACTAAGGGAATCAAATATTAATAACTTTTTGAGGAATTTAACAAATAATTATAATGGCCGATCTGGTAATATAAAAATTTTAATTAAACGACACATTAACAAAACTGGACAACGGCTTTGTCTTTTTAACTGCAGAACCGCATACGTAAGAACTTTAGATGAAAGACGTTAACTTCTTTATCAGGTGAAAACTGCCCGTAATAATTTAGCGCAGCAATGACGTACGCTTTTGGAATAAACTCGAAAACAGCATCGTTTATTGCCTAATTTTTGTATTTAAAGCTGAAACCACCTTCATTCATACGTTCCATATCATTATTCTCCGCCGTTCCCCAAACTCCTAACACCTGCATTCGTTATCTTACACGTGGCGTTGTTGGTAAACAAGGCCAATTAATTAGTCCTATGACGCCTTTATACAAAACATCTGACTTTTACCTTACGTCAAGTTTACGATTAATGTTCCCTTACTTATGCGTTCCAAAATTCATGAGACTCACTAAGTACAATTACCTCGACAATTACCATTAAAGACTTGAACAATTTTTAAATTTACAATAAAAGAACTAACATTAAAATGACAATTTTACAAATTTTCCAACTCTGTCTAATTTAAAGAAATTCCCTTAGTTCCTATCAAATAAATTGAAACATTTTACATACAGGATGTTCCCCACTGCTATTTCCAATGCTTAAACCGAAATTACGTAACAACACAGTAAATTTTAACTACAGGGGGGCTTGTTTTCATCTGGGGCATCGTCTCAATCTAGAGACACGCAAAACATTCAAAATCCGAATGTCTATTATTGAAGTATTGTGGGTTTCACTGAGTATAGACAGGGAAATAAAAAAAAGTTGTAAATTTTTAAAATCAGTTCGTATCGAAATGTCGTTTTCGACATTGCGGTCAGAAAAATATAAATAAAAATGTTGTGTACAATACTGGTTGAGTCATTTCTTGAAAATAGCATAAGCGGTGCAAAAATAGACTTATTGTTACATAACAATTATAAACATATATGAAAAGCTGGATCAATCGATAAGAAATCATTACTCAAGAGTTTTCGAGATCGCAAACTAGTGACGCTAGGCATGAAACAAAAGACATACCTACGATCCCCTTTCAACGAACCAGTGCCGTTGGGAACACATTTCTTCCTTGTCTGCCAAAAAGTTGTCAATAGCAGCTTCCGATTCAAAACGGCGGCGGCCCCGAAGGAGTTTCTTTAACAGATAAAAGTCGGAAGGCGCCAAATCCCGACTGTAGGCAGGATTGTCGACTTCAATGAAGCCGAGTCTTATAGAATTGGCTAAATTTTGACAGTCTTATGCACGGTGGCAGTGTCGTGCGCAGCAGAAACATTTCCCGATTGGCATGAGAGGCCCGTTTATCGTCAATTGTCTTGCCTCAATTCAAATTCTTGGTGAGACATAGAGGGTGTGATAAAGAAATGGATAATGTAAAGAGCGTTTGATAGATTTTTTAATGTATCGGTGATGGTTAGTTTTTTGTAGTAGAGAAACACAGGATTTACAGATAATTGGGGCTAGGCGCGATACAAGTAAGTTATAACCATATTTCTTTCTGCCAATCTTATCTTAATCGTCATAATAAATCCACAAAAAGAAAACCGCGCACTGATTACTATTTAAGCGCCAATACTAATTAAAAGGAGCGAAATTTATACGGCTGTTTCGGTATACGTTACCTAATCTCGCTTTAATTAACGTACTCCGATGTGCTTGTCAATATAATTAATAATCGCCGTCCAATTTATTGCTTATTAGGCTAAACCGATTTTAAATAACGAAATTTTCTGTTCGAAAATTACAATCGATTATGTTCAACGGGGGACGTACACTGCAAACATTGGTATAACTGGGCTGACGTTAATGCCGTGAGATATATCAATGGGGCTTCAAAGATAACTACCCAGCCGACATAATTACGAAACAGTGTGCCGAAAGACACTAATTCTAATTTACCTAAACCAGTTCCATAACGTATAATTATACCGGGAATTACTCCATTAATTAGACGAGCAAAAACGTGGCAAAATTAGGATTAACGTGTCTATTTTTATTCTTTACAGGAACGGCGGCCGCCTCCCGTTTATACGTGGATGCTATTAGCAAATTAGCGCGACAGGCTCAGCAAGGAACTTGGGGTGGATGTGCAGATATCGGTAAGTAGCAAGAAATGTATCTGTCTTGATTGCTTGGCGCTCCGAAATAGATTCTTCCAGACGAGTGCGCGTGATAAAAACTTAATAAATTGGCCCTTTAAAATTAATTTTAGGGGAGAGCACGTCGATTATATTATATTTAAGTAGCAAGATAGAAAATAAATTGAATCAGCTTGCGATTTCCAATAAACTCGGGGTTTTGTTTCCTCTCGCAAACGCGACACCCTTCGACGTTTCTTTAAAGTCGAGATCACGGACGATTACTGAGATAATTAGAAACGAAATAACTAAAACAAAGCGTACATTTTGTAGAATTTCCAAATTCTAGGAAAACAGTACCTACTTTGAAATAAAAGCTCCGAAATCAATAGCTTCTTAGAGAAACCATTCGAAACTTTCCGGGATTACCTTCGTTCGAGATTGAAATTTAGTCGAAATTTTCCTCTTCCTAATTAGTTGCTCTCCTTCCTACTTCTGTGTGTATATAAACCTAAAGTTAGTAATAAATTATAGTTGAATGGGGGTTTTCGCACCCTCCGAGCGTAATCAACAGTTATTGTGGTGTATTAGATGGAAGCAAATAGTAATAGGGTTTACTCGCCGAAGACTAAATCGACACCTTTACGATGAATACGCTCATTTTATGGTTAAGTTTGGATTAAGTTGCCGCGTCTACGTATTTAAATTAAGAAACTTCGGGCGAACGGGAAGATCCCAATTTTGTTCTTATGGTTAGAGAGCTTATTATTCGCACGGTTGCAACCAATATAAATGCAGATAAGGTTATATGTATGCACCACGTTTTCCGTTTTCTTGAGCTTGGTTGTTTATCCTTAACTTAGACTATTGTAAGATTTTCCGTTTCTGTTCCAAATGGTATGGTGCTTGGCGATACAAATGGCAGCACGTTTCGTATAAAGCCCGTTTTATGAGGTGGCGCTGTTAGTTGAGCTTTTTAGTTCACCTTTCTTTCTATACGTGAAGATAAAGCGTCACCTTTATTTGCTTTGCTTTAGCTTCACGTAGTAAAATTCCTCCAAAGCACATGAAGAGGATTTTCCATAATTCATGGAACAATAGCGACAAGAAACGCAAATTCGGTACCTTGATACAGGAGTTCACGTGTACGTTTCGTGTTGTTTATTGTTTCAGCCGAAATTAAGCATCCTCCAAATTTACGCAATTTCCTCTTGCGCCCAAATTCGTTCTGTTAGAAAAATTTGTTACCCTATTATTTCAGTTAAGCTTGGCCCGGGATAGTAGCGTTGCAATCACGGAGCGTGTAATCAGGACTATCACTCACAGTCCTGAAAGATCCCATCTAATGAATAATGTTTATTGGACGCGAACGGAATTGGTGTTTTGTGCAATTAGCGCATTGACCTCTTGGAAACTTTATAGGCGGAATTACGTTTTTCGTGCTGCTGTTTGAGCGGCCCTTAGATACAAAACGTCAATAATTAGCGTTCAGTGAAACCACCTTTTAAACTTAATCTTCGAGGTTTAATGTTCAAAAATTAAAATTCTTGCATATGTTTTTTTAACCGCACTTCTACTTTACTTCGTTCCTCCACAGACTTTGCTTTTTTTACACTTTCTTAGCGCTTCAGCCCATGTTTTCTGTTTTACGGTTTCTTTACCTTACAAATAATCATAATGGACCCATGAGTTGAGTTGATTTTTTTTTCAAATCCAATTTTAAAACGTTCATCAATGGTAGAAATACATGCAATACAAACGAATTGAGATTCTCCTAGAGATCGGTACCTTTAAGAAAATGCTGATCCAACTTGATATACGATAATGGAAATTGTACCACATATAAAACTGGCTTTCTGCAAGTGATTATGTTGGTACAAAAAATAGTCTAGAGACGGTTCGATCCTTACAAAGACACTGGTGCGAAAAATTAAATAGTGGATGGAACTTCCTTCGGCGAAATAGGTAGCGCTACAATTCATGATGCTTTCAAGTGCAGCTTTAAAATCTTGATCCATGGTTGAGATCAAATAGAGGAGTTGTTCTCAGAGGATAAGTCAATTTTGGAATATGTAAGCAATGCCTTGGAGGTGGTAATCTACGTGACAGTTCACATCTTTCAGTCTACTGATGAGAAGTTTCATAGCAGCATGGTTCTTACACACAATAGCATCAACGGCCGATGGGGCAGAGTAATTCGAAACGATCTTAGATTTCTTGTTGAAAATGGTTTAAAAAGGACAGCTCACTTTTGGTTCCGTCATCCAAGTATCAGAGATTGGGATCCGAAATCAGATCTTGGATCATTGGGTGGATGGTAGGACTGAAGATAAAAGGTCCGCATGGATCTTCTTGCAGAGCTCCGACTTAAGAAGGCATGGTTCTCGTTCCGAAGAAAATGGAAGAACGGGTTGCATAACACTGGTACATAAAGCTGTAGATGGAGGGTGTTTTCCGTTTCATTTCTGCAAGCATTTGGTCTCTTTCTATCGAGTTGAAGGGATTTCTAGCTTTTTAAAGGCGTGCGATTTTTGGCTGCTGGTGGTTCCATCCGAGGAAGGTTACAAATTCGGTCTAAGGCAGGAAAGTCAATGTCATGGTGTGCGGAGGACCAGTGACGCTTTAGACCTCCACGAATTTTAAAGGAGCCTCTTGAGCACTCGGGACAGTTAATGGAGTTCTCGCGGTTTTCCGCAGTCGGCCAGTCCATTATCTGCCCTTTAAATTGCCCGGAGATGCTCAAGAGTGGCGCTACGGGGGTGCAATGGACTGAAAAATTAACAATGACGAAACATTGCTCAAAAATCGTTACTCTGGGGTGTTTGTGTATAAAAGAATTATATTTTTCTCAATTGACATTATCTACTAAAAGGTTACCCCTACCTCTTCCGTATTGCCCCCCCCCCACCCCTAGCACCCCCAAGGAATTTCGAGGAACTATTTGCAAAAACTTACAACTTTCGAAAAAAATCGTTCTAATTTTCGTCGTCTATAAGTATCCCGTAAAATGTTTGAAAATTCATATAACTGATCAACTGATAAACGCACAATACACATAAATTTCCACTTGAATTGACGTTAACGTTTATCACGAGGCAAAGAAAATTCTTTAAACACTCTCTGACTTTCTTCTACAACATGTACTTTACAATAATAAAGACCGACTGTCTCAAAAAAGCCTCGATTCACGTCTGGTTCGCTTATTTGAAGCATTCTTCCCGGTCTGTTTCCTTTCCTTTCTCTATCTTTAGTAAAATAATCCGTCATCATTGAATGAGCTGAACACATGATCCAACATGAGTGTAGCTGCAATTACAAACAATTCTAAAAGGGAAACAACCACTGAAATACAAATTCAAATGAAACGAACTAACTGTTTATTTCGTAAATAATCCCCAAGATGTACGTAATAAGTTGGAATAATACAGGATGTCCCGTAATTATTTTTGGTGTTTATTGTTATTTTAGACGAAGTGGAAACCATTTTGCAATTTGTGTTACTTCCTTGATAAACAGAGTTATACTGTTGAGGGGTGTAAATTTGACCATTTGATCAAATCATGGCCACTCCAGAAAGTAAATTATTTGCTTGCAGTAAAAAAAATATTGTGGAACAGAGCTGGGCAGAATACTTTCAAAAAGTATTTGAATACTAAATAGTAAATACTTTACACAAATCAAAGGTATTTGAATACTAAATACTTTTACGTCCAGCACAAGCGAATACTAGATACAGATGCATTGAAAAGTATTCAAATACTTAAAAAGAATAAGTATTCAAATACTTTAGAATGTATTATACTTTCAAAAGTATTCTAATACTATCAAAGGTATTCGAATACTATAAAAAGTATTCGAATAGTTTGAAAAGTATTTCATTATCTTACTTTGAAAAGTATTCAAATACTTGTCACTCAAATACATTAAAAATTTAAAATAGTAGGTATACTAGACAAAAAATCAAGTTATACTTTGTATGGGGTTAGCTTTTTTTATATTTCTATTGTTATATACAATTTTAATGGGAGTAAAAGCGTATTATTAATATTATATTATTATATAGGAGGTACCTACCAGGACCTTTCTTATACCGGTTATATCCTTAAGAATACGCGTACCAGTTTTTAAAGCGTCGTGCACATTATACGTACGCCTTTCTGAAATTAATCCTAGCGATTTTGGAACAGATCCATTTTTGACCATCCGTCACATGGTCTTAAGGATATAAGAAAGGTCCCTATTGTTTTTAAGTTACGTAGACTATCGAGTTCGGTATTCAGATGTATCGGATTTTTATATTTGATTTTGTGACAATGGAAACTTTCCCTAAACATTTCTAAATTGTTCTCAAATATTTGAATAACTTAAAAGTACTGCCTATTTTTTAGGTCGGAAAAAAAATTGTCTGAGATCGACCGGGAAAACATTTTCTTATAGAATGTGGCCTGTAGAATCCATAATTTCAAACAGTTCCAAGATTGGGCCACTAGTTCAAAAGTTACAGCCCTTTGAATTTTTTTTCGAAATAGGTTTCTAGTCTATAACTTTTGATTGAGAAGTATGATCGAAAAAGTACGAATTGTTTTGGATTCTACGCACCAAAATTAATAAGAAAAAGTGTTTTCCCGAGAAATTTTGGTGCAGTCGACTTTTGGTAAAAAAGGAAGGTAATACACTGCCTTTTTTTGAGCCACGAAAAAAAAATTGTCTCAGATCGACCCGGAAAAAAAATTTCTTATAGAATGTGGCCTGTAGAATCCATAATTTCAAACAGTTCAAAGATTGGGCTACTAGTTCAAAAGTTACAGCCCTTTGAATTTTTTTTCGAAATTGGTTTCTAGTCTGTAACTTTTGATTGAGAAGTCTGATCGAAAAAGTACGAATTGTTTTGGATTCTACGCACCAAAATTAATAAGAAAAAGTGTTTTCCCGAGAAATTTTGGTGAGTCGATTTTTGGTAAAAAAGGAAGGTTATACACTGCCTTTTTTTGAGCCCGAAAAAAAAATTGTCTCAGATCGAC